ACTTAAATTTGCTCTGTGATTCGTCATTCTACAATGTCAGGGGGGAAAAAAGTAACATTTTCAAAATTAGGGATTGGTCAAATAAGTGAAAATCTGTAATTACGTATGAGTGACATAATAGTATATAATTGTCACGAAAAGTCGTAGGATGAAACAGCTAAATGACATGAAAAAATGTCCATGAACTATTACTAAGCAAAAGTAATGTGCTAGAACATTATGAACAAAAGACCTGCATTTTTATTTGAAATGAATGTACTTCATTTAAGTTGATAGCTCCGCAGGGGCTGGCTTATGGAGCACCTTTTCGAATGGCCACAAAACCAAGAGTCATTTTTGCTATTGAGGACTTGTATTCTATTGTCGAGCGGGGACCTCCCTCTGGTGAGGGTCCATTCACAGAGAAAACAGGCTCAGCACCCCCCCCCGCTCGGACCACCTTCCTACAGCGGGCAGGTCCCTCTGGCAGGACATGGCGGAACCCAGCAGGGCCCTGGAGCCCCAGTGGACCCAAGCATAGCGTATAGAAGGACCAGACACCCCTGCGTTCTCCTGCCGTGGCACGCTCGGTGTGTCCTCTTCTCAGGACTGTCCCCAAGGCTGAGACAGGCAGCGTGAAAACCACCTTTGCCTTCAAAATTTCACACTGACAACCAGTATTCAGAGATATCCAAGATGGTGTAAAGCCAGTGCCTATAATTATGAAAGATTTCTGCACGCTCAGGACCGTCATCACTAAGGTGTGAATGTGTCAGAGAGCCTCTAGTTGTTCCCTTGATGCCAGCAGTTGGCATCGTGTGTCATTATGGTGTACCCACTCAGGCACACATGTTACAAAATACAGAGCTGGGTGCTGCCCGTTACACTATCTGGGTGCAGGTTACACAGCTATAGAGCTGGGGTGCTGCTGGTACACTATCTGGTGCATGTTACCAGCTATAGAGCTGGGTGCTGCTGCTACACTATCTGGGGTGCATGTTACACAGCTATAGAGCTGGGGTGCTGCCTGTTACACTATCTGGGGTGCATGTTACACAGCTATAGAGCTGGGGTGCTGCCTGGTACACTATCTGGGGTGCATGTTACACAGCTATAGAGGGGGCTGCCTGGTACCACTACCTGGGGCATGTTACACAGTATAGAGCTGGGGTGCTGCCTGGTACATACTCTGGGGTGGCATGTTACACAGCTATAGAGCTGGGGTGCTGCCTGTACACTACCTGGGGTGCATTACACAAGCTATAGAGCTGGTGCTGCCTGGTACACTATCTGGGGTGGCATGTTACACAGCTATAGAGCTGGGGTGCTGCTGCTACACTATCTGGGGTGCATTTACACAGCTATAGAGCTGGGGTGCTGGTACACTATCTGGGGTGCATTTACACGCATAGAGCGGGTGCTGCCTGGTACACTACCTGGGTGATTACACAGCTATAGAGCTGGGGTGTGCCTGCTACACTATCTGGGGTTGCATGTTACACAGCTAAAGAGCTGGGGTGTGCCTGTAACCTATCTGGGGCGATGTTACACAGTATTAGAAGCTGGGGTGCTGCTGACACTATCTGGGTGCATGTTACACAGCTACAGAGCTGGGGTGCTGCCTGTTACACTATCTGGGGTGCATGTTACACAGCTATAGAGCTGGGGTGGCCGGCCTGGTACACTCTGGGGTGCATTTACACAGCTATAGAGCTGGGGTGCCGCCTGTACACTATCTGGGGTGCATATGTTACAAGCTATAGAGCTGGGTGCTGCCTGCTACACTATCTGGGGTGCATGTTACACAGCTATAGAGCTGGGGCTGCTGGTACACTATCTGGGGTGCATGTTACACAGCTACAGAGCTGGGGTGCTGCCTGGACACTATCTGGGGTGGCATGTTACACAGCCTATGAGCTGGGGTGCCTGGTACATATATGGGTGCATGTTACACAGCTATAGAGCTGGGGTGGGCTGCGCTCTACACTATCTGGGTTGCATGTTAACAGCTATAGAGCTGGGGTGCTGCTATATTATAATTATAATATAAAATATAAAAGAGAGGATAGAAAGTCCACTTTTCAATTGTCCCGCTGCCGGGCTGGGCTCATTGGGTCAAGTCCCCCCACTTAATATCAAGGCTTTGATATCTGCAGCATTACATAAGATAAAACAAACCTCAGGGTACACCGGAGAACACAGGGCAGTGGGTGGGTGGGGAGACGGCTGAGAAGTGCCACTCCTGCACCCTCACCCACAGGGGAAGGGAGAGCCGCGCCCGGCCCGACCTCGTCCCAGGACCGAGTCTCTACGGGGCGAGCTCACTCTTGCACACCAGCAAACACACAACCCCCACGCAGATTCACAGACATCATCTCTCTGGTCACTTCACAGACCCGCTGTGCTTGTGCAGAGCAGGTGGAATCACGAAACAGCGCTGAAAGAAAGAGAAGTCGGGTACCTGTTGCCGTCTCCCCCTGAAGTTCCGTGAGGCAAGATCATCATCTGAAAAGCACCTGTGCAAAAAAAACAACACAGCGGTTGCATGTCATATTGAGTTTCTGGGAGGAGCCTTGTTGTCTTAGAGTGGAAAACAAACAAAGTGGAAACAACATCAGACTCCAAAGCAGACTAAAAAACACCCACAAGGTACACTCTACAGAAAGAAATCCTTCAAAATACAGTTACAATAATTGCGTTCTGTTTCAAATCTCTTAAATTATTCTACCAAAAACAAACAAACAAACAAACAAAACAAAAAACAACCTACTATACAACTAACCTGACAAAGATGACACTAAAGAAATGGAAATTTCACACCACTTCTTTCTGATAAATATAATACGACAATCCTAGCTGGGGCAGAATCACGGCACCAACAACCCTATTTTTCACCTCCCCATTGTGGGTGGAGGCTCTGACCACCCTAAACTCTGAGCCCAGCAGGTGACGTAGGTTGGCGCAGATACGAGAAAATGGGATACAAATGATATCTCAACACAGCTTCTGTTGGGCTGTCTTGCGTGTGGGAACACGCAGTGGTAAGCCAGTAGACAGATGTAACGGATATTTGCAGAAGACCCGTCATCGAGAGAAGACCACCCAAGCAACCAACCGGGAAGACCACCAGCTGACCACTGGACCTTGAACGGTCTCATTTCATTGGAGCCACCCTACACTCATTGAAATAATGTTTTAAAAAAGTATGAAGCCACTGAATTTGGGGATAGTTTGTTCCACAGCAGTAGCTAACTGATGCATATCGATTTAATCCATCATCAGTTTATGAGAACCAACTAGGCTCAGTAGACTTACTCCGTGAGTGCCAGGATGAAATTTGTATAAAGGCATCTTTCGATATGATTTGTCACACGCACGGGTTAAGAAAAGGACCATGTGCATTGATGACTACCTTCGCCTGATGAAACTTAATGTTTATTCCTGTTTAGGAAAGAGAGTAAACTAGAGCAGTGAGGTGCTTCCAGAAATAATAGCGTACCTTAAAAAAAAAAAAAAAAAAAGGGAATGTCTTATTTAAAGGTGAATCTTTTGGGTTTTGCCTTAACGTCAGGATTGAAAAATATCTGTTCTCTTCATGCCATTTGAAGTTCCTGGGTTTTCTAGCAAAAGCAATGCAAAAAAACTGAAATTTTTTAAATAAAAAAAATAAATAAACTGCAAAGACAAAGTATAACATAAAAAGGGTAAATTTTAAAAAATCATTTGCAAAAAATCACTGTTTCTTTGAAAAGCTAAGAAATGAAGCAAAACAACTGGAATTAATAGGATTTATCATTAAATGGGTAGTCAGGAAGAGGGTACAAAATAAACACAAAACAGTGAACATAAAATGTATTCATAGAAACAAATAAAAGCAGGGAAAAGCTTAAAAATACATTTAAAGAATTTTTTTAAAAAATCACCAAGAGAAACAGGCACTTGGGGAACCAATCCCAAGGAAAAACTTGCAGAACTGTAAAGAATCAATGAATTAAAAGAAGGTTTTATTTTTTTTTCCCCAAGAGGACAAAAAAGACAATCACAAAATGATTCTGAAGTAAAGGGAAAAAAGAAAATAAACAAAAAGCAGAACCACACACAACATAAAAGACAAAATAAACCAAAAGATTAATATCTTGCTCGTCAAATAATACCTTAAAAAATATTCCGGAAGCAAAAAAACTACGAGTGAGGACTTAAAGTCACAGGTAGGGGGACACGTTCACATACACCCAGGGACTTGGCCAGGCTCTACGAGACCTCTGAAAACCATGCCAGTTACTCATGCCAAAGAGAAGGGAAGACCTAAATGGGGCACCCCAGAGATGCATGAACGTCATCTGTGTTCAAAAGGGTAGGACTTAGGGACTTCGGGGCAAGTCGTAAATAACTCGGGGAGCTTTGAGTACCGAGGTCCCCAAAAGCCCACTGGCAGAGCTGGGATACTGGCAGAGGATGGAAGGTACCATCTTCCTAATTCCCTTTTCGACGCCACATCCCATTCGAGAACGTTCGTAGGTCCCCCAGCACCCGTGGGCGTTTGGTTCTAGCACACATCGGGGGTCGGAGGTGCTGGGTTTTGATTTTAACTACTCCCCACCCCGTGTGGCTGTTGGAGAAGACACCACGGCACCCCCCGGCGTGGCTCTCCCCGTCCCGACGAAGTGAGCGGCGGAGGTTGTGCACAGCCATGAATCAACCATCACAGCGAATGCATCTCACGCTCCCGCTCTCTGCTTTGCAACTTGGGGAGGCTGTCCCCACCCGGCCACCTCTGACCGTCGCAGTTCCTCAGGGTTTGCATCACCCGTTTGTTGCATTCTAGACTCAACACCCGAGCGCTGGGGCGGTGAGCGACTTGCAAACGTCCACACCGCTGGATGCAAGGCAGAGCAGCGCCAGGACGGGCCGGAGCCACTTGACGAACCGCCAGCCACCGAGCACGCGTGCCGTGCCAGCCTGCCTTTTCAACGCATAGCGCGCTTTCCCAGGGAGCTATGCCCACGGGAGAAGCGCCTTACCGTTCTCTTTGAAGCACAGCTTCTTCTTCTGGTAAGCGATGAAGCTGGAGATGGCACCGGCCACGGCCACCACCACGGCCCCCACGATCCCAGGGATCACGCCAGGGGCGTCGGCTGCAGAGGAAAAGCACAGGACACCTGAGCACACGGCACACCGAGACGAGAAGACCCAGTGGGGCAGGCGGTGGACAGAGACAGCCGGCTTGAGATCATCGAGGTCCCCGGTTTTCCAACGGGAGAACCCTGGGCATTGCACGCCCTGACCGGGGGGCGTGCGACCACCAGAGCCGGCTCCAGGGCTTCCTCCCGGACATGGCTCAAGACCTTGTGCATGGCCAGAAGACCCAAACACATGGCATTCCCAGAACCAACCCCTCAAAATCACACCCAGAAAGGAAACCAGTTTGCTGGGGTCCTTATATCCAAGCCACGCGGGGTGAACGTTCAGCCTTCCAATCCCACCCTCGCTCTCCTGCAGACACCCGGCTTCCCAGGGTGCAGGGAGCAAAAACATCTCTATGGGGTGGAGGTGAAAGGAACCTCTCTCTCTCTCTCTCTCATCTACGCCTGTTCTGATGATGCTGTCTGCAATATACGTGCACTTGATTTTCTACATTCATTGTGGAAGAAACGTCATCTATTTACACACTCATAAAATCGAGGTTGTCAAAACTTAACCATCCCTCCCTGACAAGGTGATTTATTAAACTCTAACTCTATCTGGGAAGTCCAAGAATGACAGCCCTAAATAAACGTGCCGGACACACATTTGCTCATGGTGTAGACTTTCAAATGACCACACCTTCGTAGACAAGGATGATAAGCAAATTGTTACATCCTTCAGAAAAAGCTTAAAAAAACCCAAGAACTGCATCCACAAAATAATAAATACATAAAACGTGGGGAGGCTGGTCACGTTCCTTTTTTGCACGAACATGCATCACACATTTTAGGCATCCACGTTTTGACACTCATTACAACAGCAAATAGGTATTAAAATCTTCGGCCAGAGAAATATCACATTTACAACGTTGACTCCAGCAGTACAAAAGCAATTCGGGTAACCGAAACATTTGTACGTACGTAATAATCTGAAAGCAAAATAAATAACTCCTTTGTTAAAGGAGTTGCTTTAGAAGCAGGGATTCTTCTAGAAGCAGAGTCCTTGCAAACTGCCGACATACAAGATACTAAAATGCACAGCGAATGTCCTTCCCTCTTCTCTTCTCTCTCTCCTTTTCTTCCTTCCTCTTTCTCTCTCTCTTTCTCTCTCCTGCTTTCTTTTCTTTCCATTTTTAAGGGAATTTTTTTAATCACTATTTTCTTGTTCCTATGAAAAGGAAAGAGAGCAGATGAATCACTGGCACTTTGATGTCAAGAGCACAAGGACTCTTCGAACCAAAGGGGGGGGGGAGTGTCCACATTGACACCTCCAAATGCCACTGATCGATCAATGATCAATCAACCAGTCATCGCCAGTCGGGGGCTTTGGGCACGTGGCCACCAGGACAGCAACAACCAGATGGCACCTACCTTGCTCCTCCTCATTCCTGTGGCTTCCACCGCCTCCACTGTCTCCTGCAAGAGAAAAGCAAGACCGGGTGACGACCAGTTGCACCAGGAAGGTTTTCGGCAAAGGGAAAACGCACGGCAAGTTTCAGCTCCCAGGGAGCTGGGCTTATGGAGGCACCTTCTCGGAATGGCCACAAAACCGAGGAGGTCATTTTGCTATTGAGGACTCTTATTCAATTGTCGAGCGGGGACCTCCCCTCTGTGAGGGTCCCATTCACAGGGAAAACAGGCTCAGCCCCCCGCTCGGACCACCTTCCTACAGCGGGCAGGGTCCCCTCTGGCAGGACATGGGCGGAACCCCAGCCAGGGCCCTGGAGCCCCCAGTGAACCCCAAGCATAGCTATAGAAGGAGCCCAGACACCCCTGCCATCTCCTGCCGGTGGTCACCGCTCGGTGTGTCCTCTTCTCAGACTGTCCCCAAGGCTGAGACAGGCAGCGTGGAAACCACCTTTGCATTTTTCAAAATTTCACACTGACAACCAGTATTCAGAGATATCTATAGATGGTGTAAAGCCAGTGCTCCTATAATTATGAAACGATTTCTGCACGCTCAGGACCGGTCATCACTAAGGTGTGAACGTGTCAGAGAGCCTCTGGTTTGTTCCCCTTGATGCCAGCAGTTGGCATCGTGTGTCATTATGCTGTACCCACTCAGGCACCACATGTTACACAAATACAAAGCTGGGGTGCTGCCCGTTACACTATCTGGGGTGCATGTTACACAGCTATAGAGCTGGGGTGCTGCCTGGTTACACTAGTCTGGTGTGCATGTTACATCAGCTATAGAGCGGGGTGATGCCTGGTACCACTATCTGGGGATGTTAGCACAGCTATAGAGCTGGGTGCTGCCGTTACCTGATCTGGGTTGCAGTGTACAAGCTATAGAGCTGGTGCTGCCGTGTACACTATATCTGGGGTGCATGTTACACAGCTATAAGAGCTGGGGTGCTGCCTGCTAACTATCTGGGTGCATGTTACACAGCTATAGAGCTAGGGTGCTGCCTGGTAACACTATCTGGGTGCATGTTACACAAGCTATAGACTGGGGTGCTGCCTGGTACAGCTACTGGGGTGAGTTACAGCAGCTTATAGGACTGGGTGTGCCTGGTTACACTATCTGGGGTGCATGTTACACTATAGACTGTGGTGCTGGCGGCTAACACTAATCTGGGGTTCCATGTTACACAGCTATAGAAGCTGGTGGTCTGCCTGGCTACCACTATCTGGGGTGCATGTTACCACAGCCTAATAGACGCTGGGGTGCTGCCTGCTTACACTACTGGGGCATGTTACACAGCTATAGAAGCTGGGGTGCTGCCTGTCTAACACTTCTGGGGGCATGTTACAGCAGCTAAAGAGCGGTGGGGTGGTGCCTGGTACACTATCTGGGGTGCATGTACACAGCTTATAGAGCTGGGGTGCTGCCATGTACAGTCTATCGGGGTCATGTTTAGCACACTACTAGAGCTGGGGTGCGCCTGCTAGCACTATTCTGGGGTTGGCATGGTTACACATGTATTAGAGCTGGTGGTGCCGCGGTCTACACTATCTGGTTGTGCATGTACACAGCTATAGAGCTGGGGTTCTCGCTGGTTTACATTTTATCTGTCTATGTTACACAAGCTTATTATTATGGTGGTGGCTGCCTGCTATCACGTATCTGGGGTTGTTTGTTAGCACAGCTGATAAGAGCTGGGTGCTTCTGTATATGTGCTGATTTATATATGCACATGTTGGTACCACTAGTCTGGGGTGCATGTACACAGTATAGAGCTGGGGGCTGCCTGGGTTTTTTTTTTTTTTTTTACATAATGTTGATTATCACAGCATAGATCTTTCTCTGCTACACTATCTGTGCTATTGGTACAGCATGCTTGTGTGTTAAGAAGCTGGGTTGCTTTTATATTTTATAATTTATATTATTAAAATATAAAGATGAGGATAGAAAGTCCACTCTTATTGTCATCTCTGCTCATTTGTTCAATTTCCCCACTAATACTCAAGCTTGATATCTGTATGCATTTACATTAATGATTAAAACAAACCTCAGGGTACATATCCGGAGGAACCACCAGGGCAGTGGTGTGGGTGGGAACGGCTGAGAATTGCCCACTCCTGCACCCTCACCCCATCTCAGGGAAGGAGATGCCGACGCTCCGGCCCGACCTCGGGCTCCCAGGACCGTTTCTACGGGCAAGCCCTCACTCTTCACACCAGCAAAAATATTCTTCAACCCCCCACGCAGATCACAGTATCTATATCTTCTGTCACTTCCACAGACCCGCTGGGCTTGGTGCAGGATATTGTGTACATCACGAAACATCGGTCTGAACAGATAAGATGAAGCGGGTACCTGTGCCGTCTCTCTCCTGAAGTCCTGAGCAAGATCACATATATATCTATAAAGCCACCTGTGCAAAAAAAACAAACACACAGCGGTTGGCAATTTTTTTTGTCATATTGGAGTTTCTGATATTAAGAGTGGAAAAAACAAAACCAAAGTATGAAATAACAACATCAGGACTCCAAGAGCAGACCTAATAACGACCCACCAAGGTTATCACTCTACAGATTATATATATTTCCTTCAAAAATACATTACAATTAATTTGCCGTTCTGTTCAAACTCTTAAATAGTTCTACCAAAAAAAAACATATATTCATTCAAACTAATATATTTATATATATATATATATTCCTACATAAACATAAACCTTGACAAAGACTGCACTAAAAGAATTATTAATTCAACAAACCAATCCTTTATAAATTATAATGACACAATCCTAGCTTATATAATCACGGCACCAACAACCCTAATTTTTCACCTCCCATTGTGGGTGAGGGCTTCTGACCACCCTAAACTCTGAGCCCAGCCATTTGGTGACGTATTTCGCCGCAGGGATACGAGATTATGTGATAACAAATGATATCTCAACACAGCTTCTGTTGGGGCTGTTGCCTTGCCGTTGTTGGGAATCACGCCGTTGGTAAGCCGAGGGAGACAATTTAACGGATATTTTTGCATGAAGGTTACCCCCGTCATCCTGAGAGTTATAACCACCCCAAAGGAAACCCAAACCCTGGAATCACCAGCTGACACTGGAGCGAGAGTCTGTGCTCAGTTTTTTTTATATGAGCACCTACATCAGATATAATAAGTATAAAAAGTTATGAAACCATTTATATGTGTTAGTTTGTTCCACAGCGTACTAAATGATGTATATTCATTTATCCATCACTTAGTATGTATTATCTCTTATTTTTAGGCTCAGTAGACTTTAACTCCGTTGTATGTGTCTCAGGGATGAATTTGTGTATAAAGGCATTCGTTCGAATATGATTGTCACACGCACGGGTTAAAAATTGAATAAGGTACCTATTGTTTGCATGATGATCTACCTTCGCCTGATGAAAACTTATATTTTTATTCTGTTTTAGGAAAAAGAGTAAACTAGAGCATGGATGTGTGTCTCCAGTATATATATAGTACTTAAAAATCAAAAAAAAAAAAAATATTTCTATTATATATATCTTTTTGGGCTTTTGCCTTAATCTCAGGATGGGTTGAAAAATATCTCTCTTTCCAGGCCATTGAAATGTTGTCCTGGGTTTCTAGCAAAAAGCAATGCAAAAAACTGAAATTTTGTTTTTTTAAATAAAACAAATAAAGAAAACTGCTATAAGATATATATATTTATAACATAAAAAGGTAAATTAAAAAAATCATTTGCAAATATTACTATCTATCTTCTATATATCTTATACATGAAATGAAGCAAAAACAACTGGAATTGTGAATAGGGATTATCATTAATATTATCTATGAAGAGTGTACAAAAATAAACCAAAATATATCAGTGAAACATAAAAATTGTCATCATATATATATATATATTGATATATATAGCAGAATATTATGTCATCTTAATTATTTATTTACATTTTAAATGTATTATTTTTTTTAAATTATTATCACAATAGTAAATTACAGTCTATCTGTGGTTTTGATATTTCCATATTCCAAGGAAATTAACTTGCAGAACTGGTATAAGAATTCCAATATGAATATATAAAATATGAATGGTTTTATTTTTTGTTTTCCTCTCAAATTGTAGGGACAAAAGATGACAATCACAATTAGGATGTTCTGATTATGTCTATTAATTGATAAAAAAGTATAATATTAAATCTAAAAAATGCAGTTATTTGTAATTCCTGTTTTACCCCCTCCCCCCCCCCTCCCCTCCCTCCCTCCCCCTCCTCCCCTCCCCCCCTCACAATCATAATATATGACACATATTTATAATATCAAAATGATTACTTTTTTTTTAATATTCTTTTTTTTTGCTTCTGTTCATATATTATATATTCCTTAAAAAAATATTTTATTTCCTGAATGCATTATGATATTATATATTAGTGGGGGATATAATCATTTCTCATATATTAATGGGTTGCTGGCATTAGAATTTTATTCATTCTGTTAAATAATATTGAATGGAATCTTATTATATTCAGTATAAATTAATTATCAATGATTATAGGCATTGCATTATTAATTCACATATAAGGAAATGTACTGGTCAATATCTTGATTTTATTATTTTTTTTTATATATTATTAATATTATTTCAAGTAACTTGGAAGATCACGAACTAGGAGTATAGATTTTGGTTTATTAATTATTTACATTATCTCTGGGCCAAAGTTTCAAGGTGATAACCAATGTGGGAGGTGTGTAGATTTCACATGCCATTGCAGAAGAATAAATGGGTCAAGTCTGAAGGCAATTTAAGAACCTGTTTTAAAATAGCAATAAAAAGTACTCATATGCATTGCCCTAAACAATGTGCATCCTAGAAATCTCTTTGAAGGAGAGCAAAGTGCGTGAAGTCGACTTAAAATTGCTCTGTGATTCATCATTCTACAATGTCAGGGAACAAAAAAGTAACATTTCAAAATTAGGATTAGTCAAATAAATGAAAATATGTAATTACGTATGA